GACGTAGGCCTCACCACATAGCATACAAGAGACACCTGGAACCAGATGGCCTACACCGCGTATGTCTAGCAGAATAGCTAACATCACACATCGCAAAGTTTACAAACTCAGTTTTCACCGCCAGTTCACACGACCTAGCTTGCACAGCATAGCCTGCACCACATACCTTACACTGCAGAGCCTTCACATCCAGTGAAATGACGCACTCCTTGGGGTGCCCGCTAACTGGATGCCACTCAAACCAAATACATATATATATGTAGTTATTCAACGAGGATTGGCAGTCTCAAGATAATCACAACGAAAAAAACCCTGAACTCATGCGCGCGCTCGTCCAGTGACCTTGCCACCTGAAGTGCGAGCAGGAGTCGCAGCCAAATGATGGCTATGCCCGGCTCGCTGCGCAGACCGGCGTAACTCGCGGCCAACATCATCGAGCTTCGCAACCTCGGCATCCGAGAGGCGAGGGCAGTGCGACACGATCAATTCCCGGCACATCGGGCGCCTCGAATCGGAGACGCGGGCAATCAGCCGCAATCGCTGGACAAAGTCTGCGCCGCAGGCGGGGCACGTCGATCCAGCCAAATAGCAATGGATCTGAAGCCAAACTCCGTGCTTGGCTCGCCGATGGCTCTCCAGGCCCCGGGCTGAAGTGAATGCGGCACCACAGTGGCATGCATGGGGCTCGCGTCCTGGGGTGGGTTTCGGTGCTGCGCTGGCGTCGCATACAATCGCAAAAGAAAATGCGATCCACCAGCACCTTCCAGGAGCGCTCGTCCTGCATCAGGCGCACCCATGCCTTAGGATCCTCAGTCAGAGCAGGGAAGCCGTCAGGGAGGAGGGGCCGAAGGAAACCAGCATCGCGTTCTAAGGCTTGGATCCACCGCGATGCGCGCCCTCGGGGTCTCGCGCTGAGCAACGCGAGCAAAGACAAAGGCCTAATGCGGCGCAGCCGGGCGCAATACTTCAAGCGAAGGCGGGCGACCAGACATTCAATCGCTGGTTGACGCAACGCCTCGCGCACCTCACGATCAGCATGCTCCACATGCTGAAAGCGAGGCCCGTCGAAAATACGACGGAGCATCGGCATGCACGCACTATTCAGCCGCTTCAAATGCCGAGCTGACGGCACTAGCATTGGCACCCCGAACATGAGCTTGGACAAAAGCAAACAACGCATGAAGTATAGCTTGTGCGGGAGCTCAACATATGAGGAACCAAAGACTTTGTGCGACAACGGCGCATACGCAGCAAGAGGCTCGGCCACCTTCGCATTCGCATCAACTATGGCACCAGCCCTGAGGGAGGTGGCAGTACCAAGGTGCTAATGAGAACTCACAACATGGATGCGCACATTTCTTCCCGGGTCTTGCACGCTGGGCCGGCCACTCGCATCACGGCGAGCCTCTCTACAGGCAGTGGACTTAGGACCGCAATACTCCGAAAGGGCCTCAGTCTTTCAGGGGGAAGCGTTGAGCTGCAAATGCAAATGTTCAAACGTAGCAAAAAGAACCTCGAGAAGCACATCGATGCTTTGATCGAGTTGCTGAGGGGTCGAGGCCACTATCCCACTATCTCAAGGGCTTCGTCGTCGATGAAAGCCGCATCCAACGCAGACTCCGCGCTCGCACCCCCGGGGGAGGGGTCCCAGAAAAGGGTCCCCGGGCGGGGCCAACCGACGAGTCACCCCTTTCTCTCGGAGCTGTCTGGAAATAATGTCTACCGTAGACACCATTAAAAAGTTAGCGCCCCTAGCTTGCACCCCTGGCGCCCCCCAGTGCGACTTGCGACGCATGTGGGCAGACCAGAGACAGCAACCCAGGCACCTTCATGCAAGGTGCGCACCATGCGTGCAACAGCCTCGTCCACCCCCCACTGAAGGAGGAGATGTCCATGCTGGCCGAGACACTCGAGCATCCAGTCAGCGGCAGACTCGGAAACTCCAAGCGAAAGAAGATGGGCGCGATGCTTGGATTGCGGCAGGGAGCCCCAACCGTACATGAGCTGCCGCACTATTCTGTCGAACACTTTTGTGAGATCGACGTGCAACACGAAAATCGATAGACCTGCCAGGCTGGCGCAATCAATGATCGAGTGCAGCACGTGAGACGCCATATCGGCACCGCGGCCTGGGATGGCGCCATACTGCGAAGAAGGCTTGCGCGCAACATAAGCAGGCGTCACAGCCTGCTGCAGCATGCCGGCGAGACCTTTACTGGCATGGTCTGCTAACAAATTGTTCCGGTAATCGTCCGTGTTCAGGGAGCCCCCTTTCAGCTTGAAAACCTCATGGGAACGCCCCCCTCGCCACTGAGTCGCCCAGGCACCAGCGGCCTTCGCCCGTTCGTTGAGGGCAGGGAACTTGCATGCTAACGCCGACCGCCCTGCCTGAAGCAACTCCGCAGGAATCCCATCATAGCCGACGCCTGTATTACGGCCGAGGGCGCGACAGGCACAGCGCGTCGCCTCGGGGCCGACATCCAAGCTAGACGAAATGGGAGGAGGGGGAAGGGGAAGGGGAGGGGAGGAGGAAGGGGGGGAGGGGCAAATAAACCAGTGCTACCCTGGATGGCAGGTTCTGGCATGGCTTGGCGAAGGGCAGCTCTTCCACAACTTCACCGCAGAACACTTTCTGGACATGATCCTGCCACACCTGCTTGACCTGCTCTATAGTGGGCGTCGGCGCGCCGTGAGAATCGCAGAAACACCGACTCGGGCGAGTGGCGTGCGCTCCCGGGGCTCGCACCACAGCGAACGCCTGGCGAGCATCGTGCGCCTCGATCGCAAGCGGTGCACTGGCAGCAAGAAAGTCCAGATACGCACGCCGATCCTCATATAAAATTGGGCGCGCGCATTTCTGCCAGCGAAAAATGTAGGCTGTGATGCAGGCCTCTGTTGTAGGAAACATCGCCGCACCTCAGCCCCCGACCCAAAAGACAAGCAAAAGTTCCTGTCTAACCTCATGCTACAACACTCCTCACGCCAGGAATGCAGAAAGAAGGCAAGGAAACAATGCTGTCGACGCTTGGCGGCGATAAACCTGGAACGCCTCAGCGGGGCGACGTGCTGGATGATCTGCCACGCTCGCGGAGACAGCCATACCTTCCGGGGCTGCTTTTCGGGTCGCCCGAAACTGACCAAGGCAGCCCACCGAGTCCACAAATTCAACAGCTCAACGTGGTCGTCGATGTGAAGGGAAGGAGGGACAGGAGGAAACAACCACATAAGCAGTTGGAAAAGATCGCAACACGAAGCCAACTTCAAATTATGCTCATTAAATTTGAATGCAGGGCTCACAGAGTGCTGCGCCTCGGATGGGACAGCCTCCACGCGCAGCACCACTGCGCGATGATCTTCTGTGGCCGTGAGGGTCAGATCGGTCGCGCGGTAAACTTCGCAGCACTTGATGCGTGCAAAAATCGTTTCGAACACAAGCACGTAATCTATGCGAGAGGTGGCGGCGTAGGAAAACACCCACGTGTAGCCGCCCTCCCCCCGCGCATTGCTCAGCCGCAGGTGAAATTGATCAGCAATGGTGCGCAGAAAACTACGTTCGAATTTTCACACTCTGGCTGGCTAGGGCCCACCGAAAGAGACGGCACTGGACCGACGCGACCGTTCGCATCGAGCAAAGAGACCCAATGGACAGGATGCGACGTGAGAAGCTGCGCTTGGGCTCGCGTGAGCTCCGCCCACCACGAGACACGAACTGCCTCATCGTTCTGCGAGCGCGGGGCATGCGCTACCAAGAAGCCGAGCTCAAGCTGAGCAGTGCGGATCCGTTCGAGCGTAGCCTTGAACTTGGCCAGGACGGCCTCCGACTGCGCCTGCGCCTCGAGCAATGCCTCGGGGGACACGCTGCCGAACTGGGCCAGCTCGTGCACCGCCTCCTCCATCTGCTTCGCGAGCTCGTCGATCGTCGACTGGGCAGGCGGCGCCAGGCCCGTGGAAGGAAGGGGAGCTGCCGCCACCTGCTTCTCCAGCTCCGCGACGTCTTTCCGGAGCTGGGCGACTTCATCGGCAGCCGCGCTCGCCGCCTGCGTTGCAAGCCGGAGGCTCTCCTCCGCAGTCGCGCGCCTCCTCTGGGCGCGCTCGAGGGCAGCCCGGGCCCCATTCAGACGCTTGCCGAGAGGGCGAAGATCGCCCAGCTGCTTCCGCTTGGAGTCGAGCTGGAACTGCATCGCAGCCCTCGCCCCATCGAGGGGCGAATCCTGCGGGAGCGTACTCGAGGAAGCTTCCAGCTGCTTGATGGACTCGACCAGCGCCCCGCGCGCGGTCGACGCATCCTCCGGCGCTGCAGGCCCGCCACCCGGAGGGGAGGCAGGCGCGGCCGGTGGGGCCGCTGGCGAGGGCGAGGGAGGAGACATCCCCGCGCTCTTGGCCAGCTTCTCGGCAATGACCTTGGGCTGTTGCTGGGCCTGGTTTCCAGTTGACGTTTGCGTTGGCGGAGTGGACGCGTTCCCGGCGCCATCCTGCTGGGGCGGCGAGGGGTGCGAGTTCTTCACAGCCTCTGCCCATGCACGGCGCATCCCACACGTAGCGCACGCGTTCGTCGAGTGGTTCGTGGATTTGCGCCCCGCGCACGTCCGCAAGCGACGCAAGCGACGCGCTGGGCCCGTCTGGCTGCGCACTCCCACGTAGTGCCAGAGGCCGGACGGGTCGCGCTTCCACTCGGACGTCGAGGGCGAGCACTGCTGCGCTCGATGCGTACCTGATCCTCTCCCATGCCAATGCTGCCATTGCGCCATGTCGGGCCCCAGCTCAACAGAAGAAACAACATGTGCACACGTGTGAGCACGACGAAAGGGAATTGGGACTGCAGTACCAATACCGCTACTGCCCGGCCCTCTCCCGGGGCGCGTTCTGACCAGGATTTCGAGGCGAATCCGGCGGTGGCGACGAGGGCCTCCCGGGAGGACCAGAAAATGAGAGAAACGGGCGAAGGGTAGCGGTATGGGTATCCTTTCCTCCTCTGACCTCTTCCTCCACCCTCCGCCCGCCTTGGAAGTCGCCACGGGGTCCCAGAAGGCGTCCATCACGAACACCTTGGTCGTGTCGCCTCGCGCGGGGGGGCGTGGAGCGCTGACCTCCCGAGCCGAGCGGCCCGGATCAGAGGCTCCCCCCCGGAGGCGCCGCGCCCGAGAGCGGGCGTTCCCCCCCGGGCCCGCCCCTACTCTTCGAAGCTTTTCCTGCTGCCGCTATTCCTCCTCCTCCTCCTCCTCCTCCTCGAAGCGATTTCTGCTGCCGTTATTCCTCCTCCACCTCCTCCTCGTCGTCCTCCTCCTCCTCCTCCTCCTCCTCCCCCCTCCTCCTCATCATGACCACCAGAATCGTCATCATGCTCATCACCATCGGCATCGGCATCACCATCATGAACATCAACATCGTGATCGACAGTGGCATCGCCACGATCGCCATCACAATCGACATGTGTTGTCGCACTCGTCATCGAGACACATCGCATCCACAACTATCAACATCGTCCAAATCAGAATCCTTGTCAGAATCATCGTCCTCATCGCCATCACCGACATAAATCATCACCATGATCAGAGCCACGAACAGCTGAACCGTGTTCAGCCTCGTTATCGTCGCCATCATCATCATCGTCGCTAGAACCATCCCGCATCTCATTCCCTACCCTGCCCCATACCGCTCCAGCAATCGAAACGCGCCGACAACGTCCTTCTGAGAACAACTGCATGCCAGTCCGGAAAACTTGCGGCGGGAGATGCCGAGACGATGTGGAAGCCTCCTGGCAAAAAACCTCACGCACCCATCCTGCGCCTCCTCCCCCAATACGCCTATCCCCATCTTCCCTCCCCGCCTTCCTTCGCCGCCTCCCCATCAGCATCCTTGCAAGCACCCCTAGCCAGACCCAAACTAGGCACCTCGCCGCATCCGGCTCGTCGGCTCAAGGTAAGGCAAAAAGGCGGGCAAATGAAAACAAGTCGATGACCACTTCGGAGAACACGAACCAGAATAGTACAAGACGGAACCACAGCAATGACAGCCAACAAGGTGCTCGCGTCTGAAGCATGGGAGCGGAAAGCGACAAGGTGAACGCAGGTGGAGGTAGCGAGAGCATGAGGGACCAAGCTTATCAAGCTAGGAATGGGGCACTCTAAGTTCTGCAGCATGGGAAAGGAATTCTGTTCACATCCACCACCCAGCGGGGTACCCAACCGATGTACTCAAATAGTGGCGCGGAAGAGACACATTTTGGCCCGCCCAGGGCGGAGGAACTTGGAGGGGCTCGATTGCCAACATTCATTTGGAGGGACGAGGCGCAAAATGCGAAAGGAAGAGAACGCAAACATCAACAGACATGCGCGTGGAAATCCGCCGACCGTGTCGGCGTGTGGAGGACGCGTCGCCGTCGTCGACGTCGTCGTCGCCGTCGCTGTCGCCGTCGCCACTCAACGTCTTTTCCCTGAGTCCATCTCCTCTGACGTTCCAGCCGAAACGACAATGACGGACGTTGAGATTACATCGAAGGGAAGCCCCCGGGGGGTCCCAAGGGGGGTCCCGGGGGGGGAATCGGGGGGCGGGGTCAGAATACCATCTGGGGAATTCTGGGATCCCACCGGTCCCTCCCAGCTCCAGCCTCGTCGGTCGTCGTCGGTCGTCGTCGTCGTCGTCGTCGGCGTCGTCGTGGTCGTCGTCGTCGTCGTGGTTGTTCAAGGTCGGCGGCACCGGCCGTAAGGCCTCTCCAAACTACGAATCTGGGCCCCGCCGGGAAAGAGAGGCGCTGCGCTGCCGACCTTTGGCGAGGGCGACCTCCACCGAGCGCCGCTCCCTGATATAGTGAAGGTCAACCGTGTCAAATACCTGCTTCGGTCCGCCCCGCCCTCCTCCTACTCCCTGTCCCCGCCTCCTTCCTCCTTTCCCCATTCCTTTCTCCCACTCGCTCATTGCCCCTTCCTCCAAGTCGTTCCCCCCATCCCGCTCCCTCTGCGCTACGTGCCTCACCACGGCCTCCTCTTCGATGCCCCTCCTATCTGGGACACCTGCTTTTGAGACACACGGACACACCATCCCGAGAGATGACGGGGACGATGGGATCGAGGAAGATTTGATGCGGGAATGTACGTATATGACATACGCGAGAAATGGCAAAGACGAGCTGGTGAGAGAACCGATCGCGTTGCTATCCCAAGTGGAGTACACCAAAAGCGGTACATGTAGATGCTACGAATTGGGTACTCAGACAATTCGCCGGCCCAACGGGCCAGGGCGTGCTAAGATCTCCGGTAACTGGTTAACAGTATTAACAGTATTTCTAGTTCGCGCGCGCGGGGCGGCCCCTGGGGGTCCCCCGGCGAAAAGTACCCCGACCAACGCCCGACCGCCGCCCGACCGCCGCCCGACCGCCGCCCGACCAAGTCTACTCAGAGATGGTTTTCCTTCTGGGTGCGGCCTCTCAGGCTCCCCAGAGCGCGCTCAGAGTGCCCCAAGAGGCCCCCAAGACTGCCCAAGAGGCCCCCGAGACGCCCAAAGAGCGCTCGAAGACGCCGAAGATGACCCCAAGACGGCCCAAAAGGCCCCCAAGACAGCCCAAGAGGCCTCCAAGACGCCCCAAGAGCCTTCCAAGAGGCCTCCGAAGAGAGCCCCAAGAGGCCAAAATCGTTGATTTCATTGGTTTTTTCTATGTTTTTTGTGTTCTGGCTTTTTCGGCTTCCGGACGCTCCAAGACGGCCCAAGAGGCCCCCAAGACCGCTCCAAGACGGCCCACGAAGCTCCCAAGACGGCGCCGAAACGACCCAAGAGAGCCCTCAAGACGGCCCAAGTGCCGCCCAAGACGGACCAAGAGGCCCCAAGACGGGCCCAAGAGGGACTCAGGAGGGATACCGAGAACTCAAAAATGGAGCCCTCCGTCCCAGAAGGCGCCCAGGAGGTCCCAAAGAGGCCCCAAGAGGCCTCCAAGAGGCCCCAAGATGTCGCCAAGAGGCCCCAGGAGACTCCCAGGAGGCCCAAAAGAAGCCCCAGAAGGCTTCAAACATGTCTCCCAGGCGCCCCCGAACGGCCTCTCAACAGACCCCAAGAGGCCCCCCAAAGAAGCATCTTGACGACGACTCTATTTCGCCCCATCGAGAGACGACCCCCAGGGAACTGCTTCACCATCAAAACTCCCCACGCAACGCGTCCGAACGACACCCGCCCCCAAGAGCGCAACATGGGCAACGAACACACAGACAATTATCCCGGCAAAGCAACCTAACAGCGATGTGTCTAAGTATAACTGAAACATGCAGCAGCAGTGAGAGGCACTGTGATACCAACAGTAACAGTAATAGTGATGCAAAAGCTGTTGTCATCGTCGCGCTGAGCTTGATTCGATGTGTTGTCAAACAAGGTACTGCCATGGACGCATGTCGCTTGAATGACTACATGTATAAACGAGACACTGCTATCAACGCCGGCGTGTATACCTGTTGTGTGCGATTTTTCCAAATGTAGCCTGGGAATGGCGTTCTGGGAGGTCTCGGAGCACGAAGTGTGTGACTCTTGCATCCTGTTATTCCGAATGTGGCCTGGGAATGGGGTTCTGGGATGCCAAAGAGCTCGAAATGTGTGACTGTTGCATCCCGTTAATCAGAATGTGGCCCGGGAATGGAGTTCTGGGGTGTCAAGTACGAGGAATTGTATGACTGTTGCGTCCGGCTATTCCGAATGTGGCCCGGGAATGGCGTTCTGGGAGGTCAAGGAGCACCAAGTGTGTGACTGTTGCATCCGGTTATTCAGAATGTGGCCTGGGAATGGGGTTCTGAGAGGTCGACGAGCACGAAGTGTGTGACTGTTGGTGAAAAACGAGCCCGGCACAGGCCCGGCACCCTGCCGGCCGGCAACTCCCAACGCCTGCCCGGACCCCCCTGTGGAGTGATCTGTGAGCTCTTTTGAGTCAACTAGAAACCTATCAGTCTACGCTGTTAGGTAAAAACCAGCGATGCCATATCACGGGCCGGCGGAATGAGCGAAGCGATTCAATAAATAGAGCCTGCTCGACGATATATAACTAAGTTGGCACAGATGCAAATGCATGCAGATGGTGGTAAAAAGGCGATGCAACTTCATAGGAGCAGGGATGTGTGGCCCATGCACGGAGAGCTACCCGTATACATCATATGAATCATATGTCTATATGTATGTATATCACCGGGCACACACACACGAGAGAGAGAGAGCAAGAACGAGAGCGACAGGGAGAGGGAGAGGGAGAGAGAGAGAGAGAGAGCGATAACGAGAAAGCGAGAGAGAGAGAGAGAACAAAACAAACAACGAGACAGGTAAGTGGAGAGACAGAGAGAGGGAGGTCAAAATAATGAGGGAACTCACGCGTAGTAGGTTCATGTCGTCGCCCCCGCACATAGCAGCGGCCACCCTGATAATCCCACCAGACTATTCTGGTGCGAGTGGTTTAGCCAGGTTCCTCGTCCATTCCATCTTTCTCTTCCCCGTCGGAGAGGGCTTTACCCCTCCCCTCGCACCCAACCCTTGGGCGTGGAAGAGGGGTTCCACGAGGCGTTGGTCCGTCCAAGATGGCCTCGACGAGGAAGCCACAAACATTGATGTTACTAAAATGTGTTGGCCACAGTTTGGCCTCGTGTGGGGCGTGGGGGTGGCATAATTGCATGCGGTCCCTCAGTTGATCGATCTCTTCGAAGATGGCCCCAAAATGGCCCCTCAGGCCCCCAAGAATGCCCCAAGGTAACTCCATGAGGTGCCCAGGAGGCCCCAAGCGACCCGCAAGAGCCTTCCACTTGCCCCCAGAAGGCCCCAAAAAGATACTCAAGATGCGCGAAGCCCCTCCCCGAGGCACCCAAAATGCCCCAAGAAGCCTCGGCGACAAGGCCAAGCTCATTGATGTTACCAGCGTGTTGGCCACGTGTTGGTTTCTGGAAGGGGGGGGCCTAGATTAAGGAACGCCTCTCCTCCTAGATGACCCCAAGATGGCCCGAGGGGCTCCCAAGGGTGCCCCAGGAGGGCCCCAAGAGATGCCCAGGAGGCAACAAGAAGCCCCCCAGAGGCACCCAACACACCCTCAAGATCCTCGAGGTGGCCCGAGAAAGCCCCCCAGAGGCACCAAAGACGCCCCAAAGGCCTCGGCGAGACGGCCAAAATCATTGAATTGACTGTGATGTTGGCCACATGTTGGCCCCTTGGGGGGGGGACCCTAAGTAAGGAACCCATCGCTTGATCGATCTCTTCGAAAAATAATTCCAAAATGGTCCCCGAGGCTCCCAATGGTGCCCCAAAACGGCCCCAAGAGGTGCCAAGGAGGCCTGGAGAGGCCCTCACGACGCCCCCCCCCCGAGGTGCCCTCAAAGAGCTCCACGAGCCCCCCCAGAGACACCCAAGACGCTTCAAAAGGACCCCGGGACTGCACAGAGACCCCCAAGACGCCCAAACAGGACTCCAAGAAACCCCAGAAACAAAAAGAAACATAAACCCGAAGAGACTCCGAGAGGCACCCTAGAAATCTTTGCTCTATGTGCTCGCTCTCCTCCTGCTACTGTTCCTGTGTTCGCTCTTGCTCCTGCTCCTGCTCCTCCCACTGCTCCTCCTCTTCATCCGCCCGTTCCTCCTCTTTCCTCATCCCTCCTCCATCACCCCTTGAAATTGTCCCTCCTCCTCCTCCTCCCCCCTCCTACTCCTCCTACGAATCTCCCTCCATCCTCTACCTCCCGGGTTGTGACGTCTTACCCCGCCTTCTATTTCACCGCAATCTCTTCCACATCCCTGATCAAGGCAATTCGTCTAGGCATCATTTGTCAAGGGATTTAGGCGAAGCGTCTAGAATATGGGAAAATGTTGACAACAAACGAAGACCAATGTACGGAGCGTCGTTGTTAGCGAAATTATGTGAACACATGGATGAAGGAGGTGGATGAGACGGGATGAGGCAGAGAGCGAGAGAGAGAGGGGGGGAAACGAAATCCCACCAGCCCATTGGGCGTGGGTGGTTTAAAACGCTTCCTCTTCCAACCCCCTCTTGTCCTCCTCCTCCGTCCTGTCTGCTCCCTCCCCCTCCGCCTCGTCCGATTCCTCCTCCATCCACTCCCTCTTGGGGTGCTGCGGTTTCCCCAACCTTTTATTCCACTGAATGTTTCCCTACATCCCTGATCAAGGCAACTCGCCGGGGCATCGTTTCTGGATGAGTTGGTGGGTTACGCGAAGCGTCTAGAACAGATGAGGGATGACAAAGACATGAAAACAAGACAGACAGCGAGAGAGAGAGAGAGAAAGAGAGAACGAGAGAGAGAGTGAGGCAAGAAGACGGTATATGAGGTCCCGCCGATGGTAGATCCAGAATTGAGGGGGGGGAGGGGGGGGGGAAAAGGCCCCTCGACCCCTTTCCCTGGTCCGCCGTCCAGAAACATCCGACCCCCCTTTTCCAATCCTTCGTACCAGATACACGACACGTCCCCCATTGTCCAAGGGAGGAGCGAGTGAACATCCGCGTCCTCCTCTTCCTCCTCCACCTCCTCCTCCTCCTCCTCCTTCTCCCCCCTCTCCTCGATCCTCCGCTTCGATCCTCCTCTTCAATCCTCCGATCCTCGGCCATCCTCATCGATCCGCATCCTCATATCCCTAATTACTTCTCCTCCTCGCTCCTCCTCTCCTCGGTCCTCTACGGGGGGCGAGGTTAAGACGATGGAAGGAAGAGGACACATTCTGGATGAGGGAAAGGCGGAGGATGCCAAGTGGCCCTGGCCCAGGGGAGACCAAGCTTCATCGGTCAGTGATCCTCCGAGCGTGCGCTAACGCCAACTTGTGCTTGCCCAACGGAGCCCTTCAGTACGACGCATGCGGTGTGATGAGGGCCGGGACGGGCTGCGTGCCACCGGCGGTACTGAACGGGGAATACGCGCATTGGGCCAACTGCTTGGTCGCAGCGGCAAGACTCCTCACCGCGTTTGGGGCAGCCGTGGGATGCAACGGGGCCGAACTTGGCCACGGCAGGCTCAGAGGGAAGACGAAGCGCAAGGAGAAGGAGATGAGCACGCTCAGGGCGTGAATTTCTAAAAACGTAACATTGGGCTACGGTCTGACAGAGGACAGAAAAACGTCCTCTGGACCGAACTAAAGAACATTCGAGGGCACCCGCCCCCAGGATACACAAGAGAGCCAACAAGTGCGAAGAAGGTTTGGATACCCTCCCCTAGCCAACCTCGATCGCATCCCTCGCTCACACCGCAACACACGTTCTGAAGAGCATCGAACCAGGGAGGCCCGGATGGCCTCCAGAGCACCCCTCGCGAGGCCCAGGGCGCCTCGGGCCTGGGCTGCACCAGGGGTCAAGGCTTATGCTGTTCCCATCGGACTGAAGGACCACATCCCAGAAATCATTTCGAGCACCCAGAAAGGTGCCGAGAGAGTGTCGAAAGAAGGTCGGACGAGTGTATCCCAGGGCCCGACACGTGAACACCCTCGAGTTTCGGTACCTTTCTGGTGCTCGAAATTCTTTCTGGTGGTCAAGGCTAAAGTAGGTTGGAACATCACCAATCAAGGCTAAAGTAGGTTGGAACCTCTGGGACGATTCGAACTGTACCGTCTTCCTACTTTGGCGGCGAGACCGTGGAGGAAGTGAGAAGGGGCGGGCCTTCACAGAAGGCTCAGACATGCAGTGGCCTTCTGAGAAATTCTAAGCCTTCCCCGAAGACAAAAGGGAACTTCTCTCGGAAGGCCAGATGGCTTCTGAGAAGCCGTGCCGCCCTCTGAGAAGGCCTTCTCTTTCTCACTTCCCCCCCCCCGCTCGCCGCCGCCTACCGGCACGCCCGACATGGGCACAGACAAACATGGGCCTGATGCCAAACAACAATCTTGTCCCAAACCAACAGCGGCCGCAGTTGGACAAGCGACCTTGTTTGCAACGTCCACGGCGACGCTGACAGCAAGTCCTTTTCAAACAATTGGCAAGGACCCATCGTCGTCACTATGTTGTCCGTACCCATCCGGATTCTAACAGGCTGCGCTGTTAATCTCCAATGTGAAGCCTTCCGCAAGAAACCCAACCCTGAGACCCCAGGGCGTCCATTGACTCTTGGTGTGGGAACGTCAGGATTCTCAGCGCAAAACCATAGAAACCCAAGAAACCCAGGGCACTCTGGAGGCAAGCAGGGTGTTTCTTGGCATGGGCATCCACTGTAGCCGCTTTCCCTCAGACCCTCAGGGGTCCCGAAACGATGTGGTGACATACCGTGCGGCGACCTCGACATCCCCAAAGACCTCACCGCGCGGCCCGCCACCGCACCATTCTGGCACCTGGGAGGCCCGGGTCTCCCGAGACGCCCTCGGAGGAAGACCCGGGTCCTAAAATCGTGCGGTGACCCCGAATCCCCACTGATTCACTGCACTGAAGGGCCCAGGGACACACAAATCCCAAGATTCCCAGTACTTTCTCATAATTGAGGAATTTCCGTCTTCCCCCCTACTTCCGATATTTTCAAACTAGAACCACGCGCGCGCTTCGCGCGCGCTTAGGTTCTAGTCACACTTGCGCCCACTCTTAACATTGGCAATGCCGCGCCTCCGAAGCCTAAACGGCGAGAGCCCAAACAGCTTGAGCCAAAATGGCTTCCGTTTGGAGCAGGGCGTGCAGGCGCAGCGACGGGCGGGCGCGAGAGCGGCAAGAGTATTTGAGGGCGTCCGGTCAGAGAGCTGTTTGGGGCCTCTTGGGAGCTGCTCGGGGGCCTCTTGGGGGTTCTTGGAGGAGTCTGGGGCTGCTTGGGGGCGTCCTGGGCGTCTCTTGGGCCACCTGGAGGCCTCTTGGGGCCGAGGGTCCGAAAAGTCCATTCGGATCCCCCCGGTCTTGGGGGCCTCTTGGGCCGTCTTGGGCGGCTCTTGGGCCGTCTTGGGGCTCGCTTGGGGGCCTCCTGGGCTGTCTTGGGGCTCTCTTGGGCCGTCATGGGGCTCCCTTGAGGTCCTCTTGGGCCGACTTGGGGCTCTCTCGGGCGGCTCCAAGGGCGTCTTGGAGCGTCGGAAAGCTGGAAAAGCGAGAAAGCAGAAAACATTGTAAAAACCATTGAAAATCAACGATTTTGGCCTCGTGAGGCCATCTCGGATCGCCTCTCGGAGTTCTCTGGGGGGGTTCTTGGAGGCCTGTGGGGCTGCTTGGGGGCCTCCTGGGCGCCTCTTGGGGTTCCTGGGCCTGGGGGCTTCTTGGGGCCCGAGCCCGCACAGTCCATTCGGGTCCTCCCCGTTTTGGGGGCCTCTTGGGCCGTCTTGGGCGGCTCTTGGGCCGTCTTGGGGCGCGCTTGGGAATCCCTGGGCTGTCTTGGGGCTTTTGGGCCGTCATGGGGCTCCCTTGGGGTCCTCTTGGGCTGTCTTGGGGCTCCCTTGGGGGCCTCCATGGCCGTCTTGGAGCGTCGGAAAGCTGGAAAAATGAGAAAGCAACAAACATCGTTAAAACCAATGAAAATCAACGATTTTGGCCTCGTGAGGCCATCTCGGAACGCCTCTCGAAGCTGTCTGGGGGGGTTCTTGGAGGCCTCTGGGGCTGTTTGGGGGCCTCCTGGGCGCCTCTTGGGGCTCCTGGGAGCTTCTTGGGGCCGACGGCCCGAAAAGTCCATTCGGATCTCCTCGTCTTGGGAGCCTTTTGGGCCGTCTTGGGCGGCTCTTGGGCCGTCTTGGGGCCCGCGGGGGGGCCTCCTGCGCCGTCTAGAGGCTCTCTTGGACCGTCATGAGGCTCCATTGGGGTCCTGTTGGGCCGTCTTGGCTCCCGGGGGCGCCAAGGGGGGCCCCCGAGGCGCAGAGAGCGCCCTGGAGCGTTCAAATAGGCTCGCCGGCGCCGGGGACTAAAATCGGGTGCGGGGGGGGTGGGGGAGTTTTGGAAAAGTGGGCTGCCCCTGGGCCCGGGGACCTGGACGCCCGGTACGTATATATACTTATATATATAAGTATATAAATATATATATATATATATATATATATTCTTGGGAATCGTCGATTAATCGTGTCTGTGTGTGTTCCCCTCCTGACACACTGGCCCTCTCCCAATGTTTGGCTTCTGGGTCATAGTTCCGACCTCTGGCGGCCGTCCAGGACAATGCGGACAAGCCCCCAGGACGCTTCCGACGAGGCGCAGCGGCTGGAACAAATCCCGGGGCGGAAAACCCTCACGAGCGCTTGAGCGGTCCAGGCAACGCACAGCGCAAATTAACCCGCGGCAAAAGACAGGCGGGAGCGACCGCGGGGCGGGAGGAGGGAAGGGGAAGGCGCTCGCTCACATGGCGGGCGTCGCCGCGGAGTGGCCGGGGCGGCCAGCCCGTGCTGAACCCAACCGACAAAAACATCTGCAAACCTGGAATCCCAACGGACTCACCACACACGGTGTGGTCACCACACCGTTTGGGGGTTTGGGGCTCCGCTGCGGGTCCCCTGCGGCGGGGAGCCCGCACGCCCAGGGGCACCACGGGCACGCTGGGGCAGATGGCCCGGACGTGCGCCTCCTGCATCCGGTACGTCGACCTGCGGTGCTGCACCCGTGGGGCTCTCGGCAAACGATCGCTCGCTCGCCACCACCGAGGTCTTCCTCCTCATCCTCCTCCTCATGCTCCTCCTCCTCCTCCTCCTCCTCCTGCACCATCTCCTCCGCCTCCTCCCCCTCCTCCTCACGCTCCTCGTCCTCCTCCTCATCCTCCTCCTCCTCCTCGTCCTCCGCCTCCTCCTCCTCCTCCTCCTTCTCCTCCTCCTCCTCCTCGCCCGGACGAACCCCTCCTGCCTCAGGTACGTCGACCTGCGGTGCTGCACCCGTTGGGAGCTCGGCATACGCTCGCTCGCTCGCCACCTCCAAAGGGCAACGTTACGGGGGGGGGTCATCATCGCCGATGGATGGATGGATGGATGGGCGCAAATCACCACGGTCCTGGGCGGGGCGGGTAATCGGGCCGCTATCAACGATGAATGGGCGATTGGGGTTATTTCCATCCCTCCTGAAAATAGTCCCTTCTAACATTGTCCCTGGCCAACATCCCCTAGAACCGGGGGGGCTACACATCGGCATCAACATACGTAAACTTTCGGAGGTCCGCTGAAATCCGCACGGATTCCGGAAAATCTATGCTCATGCCGCTCTTTGTTCTGCGAGCCTCTTCTCCCGTGCTCTCCAGAGCCTCGCACCTCATTGTTGTGAACATCGCGGGTTTCGAAACCGTGGATCCCAAGCGAACTCACCGCGCAGTGCCTCCCCCCGTGGTTCTGGGACCTCCGAGGACCTGGTCGCCCAAGACGACCTCGGGGACCTACCCGAACCCCATCACCGTGCAGTGATCCCGAATCCCCACTGACTCACCTCGCGGGAAAGAAGGATGAGGAGGAGGTGGTGGAGGAGGAGGGGGAGGAGGAGGGGAAAAAGGAGGACGGGGGGGATGAGGAGGAGGAGGAGGAGGAGGAGGAGGAGGAGGAGGAGGAGGAGGAGGAGGAGGAAGAGGAGGAGAAGGAGGAGGAGGAGGATGAGGAGGAGGAGGAGGAGGAGGAGGAGGAGGAGGAGGAGGAGGAGGAGGAGGAGGAGGAGGAGGAGGGGGAGGAGGAGGAGGAGGAAGGGGAGGAGAAGGAGGAGAAGAAGGAGGATGAGCAGGAGAAGGTGTAGGAGAAGGGGAGGGAGAAGGAGAAGAGAAGGAGGGGCTGGTGGGGGAGAGGGAGGAGGGGGGGGGAGAAGGAGGAGGGGGAGGGGAAGAGGAGGAGGAGGAGGAGGAGGAGGGGACGAGGGGGAGGAGGAGGAGAAGGAGAAGGAGGAGGAGGAGGAGGAGGAGGAGGATGCCTGCTGCCGCCGCTGCCAAGGCCAGGGGACTTCTTTTCTGCGGCACCTCTGGGCGCAGACGAGCTCAGACAAGGATGCGCCGGCTCTGGAAAACGATCGGTCGCGTCGAGCGGAACCTGGACGCGAACAGAGAACATTAGCCAGAGACGAGGGCTCACAACACGCGCGAGGGGTGGGAGGGGCTGGGAGCGCGAAACTGAAAGGGCCTAAATGGCAGCGGAATGCGGCCTCTTCAACTCTCGGCAATCGGCAATCTCCAACGAAGTAGGGTCCATGCCTGCTGCCGCCGCTGCCAGGGCCAGGGGACTTCTTTTCTGCGGCACTTTTGGGCGCAGACGAGCTTAGGCAAGGATGCACCGGCTCTGGAAAACGATCGGTCGCGTCGAGCGGAGCCTGGACGCGAACAGAGAACATTAGCCAGAGACGAGGGCTCACAACACGCAACCCTGCCATACTTCCCAGTTGGTCATCTCGATTAATTAAACACTGCATGGGGAAGCACATTTACGCAAAAAGGGGTGAGAGCTGTTTCGTTTTGGCGCTCCAGTGGGCCTGGTCGAAAGCGGCCGCGAGCGCACTGCAGAAGCGAGGGGGGTAGCGCTCGGCGGCCTTCGTCTTGAAACCACCTGCTGCTGCCAACCCGTGAATTGACGTGCGAGGCTTATTAGTGCGACTACAGACTTTGACTGAACACCGACAGGCAAGATGAGCGAGAGCGATTCGATCGCCAAGAACACCGGTAGGTTTCTTCCACGGCGTCCCCCACAGACACATGTCTGTAATAATGAACGAAGAGGTATTCCAGCTGCTGGCTTTGAAAAGACGAGGAAGGAGCCGCAAACGCGAGCGAGCAGGATTCTCGATGGCGACAGGCAGAGCTAGAAAGTGCATGAGTTCGGAGATGCTACAACAGACGGCGGCCAACAGATTGCCTACTCTCACAGCCTCGAGATCGCCGGGATGCTTGAGGGCACTCAAGCCCATCAACTCTTGATCACTGCGAAGACGGGATGGCAGGCAGGGTCGAGGGTTGTCAGGATCTCGAAGGGGCCCGGTGTCCCGCGCCCTCGTCCAAGTCTGACATGGCGTGCCCATGGACACGCCCCGCGCGAGCCCGGCCAGAATCCAGCCCCTCACTAACTTCTGCCTCGCCCGCTGGCTCAAGTCCTACTGCGGACCGCGCGCCTTGTCCCACTCCAGGACGAAGACGCCGCGCGACCGCAGGCTTTGAGACAGGCCGCCGTGCCCGCTGAACAGCTCTAGAAACACCTGCGGCTGGACGAGGCGGGCACCCCTGGAGGCCAGGGCGCGAGCAAAGGCCTCACGAGGGCCGACCGGAGCGCTGCCGTCGAGCCGACAGCCCGCTCGCGGGCGGCGCTTGGCAGCCTCTGCAGCTGCTCCCCCAGGCGGCCCTCCTTCTGGTACCTGCGCACGCTCGAGTCGCAGTGCCACCGCCCCCGCAGCTTTATCTCCTGCAGCGTCCGCAGCCCCCGCGCCCGATCGTGGCTCGGCCCGCTGTGCCGCAGCATGCGCAGCTCCGGGCCCAAGCACTCGACCTCGGCGCGCACGGCCGCGGCCCTGAAGTTGCGGACGAGGTCCGCGTGCAGGAAGCCGAAGACAGGCTGCCTTGGCGGCGCGCTCCTCTTGAGGAACGCGAGCACGCTGTGGAGGAAGCTGAACTCCGCGAGGTCGAACACCACGGTCTCGTCGAACTCCCTCGTCTTGCTGCTCACCTCCTCCTCGGACGGGCGCAGAACGATGAACCAGCTCGAGATGTGCGTGCCCGGGGTGGGCGCGAAGATCATCTCTGGCGTGACCCGCCCCAGCTCGCTGGGCCGCAGGTAGCAGTGGAACGTGATGACGACCCACGCAGCCATCGCCCAGAAGCCCGCGGCGACCAGCTCGAGCGCGATCAGCGACACCACCTCCCAGGGGAGCGGGAGCCGCGCCCGCCCAGGGGCGAGGCGCTTCTTCCACCCCTTCAAGGCCTGTGCTGCCCGCGGCAGCGCGAGGCTGCCCGCGCGGCTGAACTGCGGCCGGAAGAACTTCACCGCCGCCATCGCCTTGGTCCCGCGCTGCGACAGCTCGCCGGCCAGGTGCTCGCGGTCCATCCAGCTGGCAAGCAGGCCGTCCATGTCGTCGTCGCTGGGCACTCGGGCGGCGCCGGTCACGCACGCAGTCGCTGCCCACGCCCGAAGGATGTCCTGCCACAGCGTGTCGCACTGCGCGACCGTCTTCGGCGTCGCCGAGGCGCTCTGCAGAAAGGTCCACCCTGTGATCAGAGGCGCAGCCCGCGCCCGCCGGCGAGCCGCGCGAGCAGCTCTCCGCGCCGGCGCCGCGCGCCCCTGCCGCCGCGCAGCGGCTGCAGCCGCCCCGACGCGGCGAGGCCGGCGCACCGCCGACTGAACAGGATCGCTCCCGTCGGCCGCCCGCTTGCCCCGCAGCCGCCGGGGGGCGCCGGGCGCCCCGGAGGGGGCCGCTGGCGGCGCCACGGACGGCCAGCTCGTCGAGCCCCGCCCCCGCTGCCGCGACGTCGGCGCGCTGGCTACGGAGGCTCCCGTCCCGCACGTCCCAGCGGTCGAGGTCCGGCTCAGCACCGGCCGCGCCCCCGCCCAGCCACGCGCCGAGGGGGGTGCGGCGGCGCGACGGAGCATCCGCAACGTTGCGCTCCGACGGGATCCAGCGGACGGAGGCCTGCACGCCTCCCGCCAGGCACCAGGCAGCCCATTGCCGGGCGATGCGGAGGACCCCCCCAGCCGACGAGCGCCCCTTCTGCAATGCACACGCGAGCCCCATGTTGTCGGACAGGAAAAGGAAACGACGACCAAAAGATTTCGAATCTCGAAGAGCGTGCCGGAGCGAGTGAACGATGGCCCGTCCCTCCAGGACGATGATGTTCTCAGCCCGGGCCCATCCTCCACTAGACGCCACCTGCCACCTGCCCCCGCGCAGCTCGCCCGAAACCTCCTGCACCTTCCACCTCTCGCCCTCCGTGCCTACCCCCTCGAAGTCGTCGACGATCTCCGGCTCCTCCGCGGGATCCCCGGGACCGCCGAGACAATCGCGAGGTCGAGAAACTCCAGGACGACGAAACCTCCACCTCTCCTCATCACGACCCGCAGCCCTGACGAGCTCGACGTCGGCCTCCTTCTGGCAGACCCCCCTCCCCTCCTCGCTCGCGTCGCCCGCGTGCACCATGGAGCCCCAGGGCGCACGCAGGTCAGACCAGGCCAGAGGGAGGAGTGCGGCAGCCCACTGAAGTTCACGTCGAACCGAAGGCGGGATTTTCATGACTCGGGAGAAGTACTTCCGGGAGAAACTGTATACGGCGCTGAAGACGGAGAGCATGGGCCTCTGAACGAGAGCAATGAAAGCATAATGTCCAGCAACCTTTCCGATCTGGCGACCCGTGGCGCACCCCTTCTTCAAGAGTTCCAGAATCACCAACCTCAATCTCCAAACACGCCGACTCTTGGGGCGCAAGGCCCCGCGCTCTCCGTCGAAGACCCAGCCCAGCTGCTCCGAAACGGTGACAGGCGCCTCGGTCGGGTGCACCGGCAGGCCCACACCTTCAAGGGCTTTTCGAGCTGCGTCCAACATCTCACCAGGCCTCTCGGGCCCCGTGCCGAAGGCGACGAAACTGTCGACGTAGGCCGCGAAAGCTCCCTCCCTCACATCCGCCGGCGGACGTCCGTCAACGATCTCAGCTGCCCCAGGGGGGGCCCCTTTTACCAGCGCGATCGAGCGGTGCACCCGCTGGCAGAAGTCGAGAGCGTGCGACCAGCCCATTGGCAAGACCGCCAAGCACGGGCGGACCCAGGCTCGGCTCGACACGGACTGGCCCTCGACGACCTTGAGGCCAAGGTCAGCGGCACGCAATCGAGGAAGAGCAAAGTAACGTCGAAGTTCACCAGGCAAACCCACATTGTAGAACGCGTCGGCTATGTCCACGCCCCCCGTCCACAACTGCTCACCCTCTTGAAGCTCCATGCGACTGAAGCTGGCCCCGCTAGCGAGGCTGGTCTTGTTAGGTTCTGCAAGATGCAAATTTGACCCCATGCAATCGATCACCAGACGTTGGCGACCGTCTTTCTTCCAAACTGTGAAAAGCCCGACCTCTTCGAAGTCGTCGCCGTCGAGCCTGAAATCCAGCATGTTAGCTTTGCCCAGTCGGCTGATGAAGGCGAGGTAGTCTTCACGCCGACGGAGAACTGGATCCAGGTACGGCCGCACAAAACCCGAGTCCTTCTTTCCCTCAGCGGCATCATGATTTGACAAAACCTAGGAAGAAATGAACCTCCGCACGATATCTGGACCGTCTTTCCCGAGCAGCTGGTCCAGCGGCACCGGGGCGCCACCGACAGCCGGCAAGGAGACGAGGTCGTGCGCGAAGGGGGCCGCCGAGACGGGGTCGCAGTCCCCGTTGGCGGCGCCGACCTGGAGCTCCCGGAGGGCCACCTCGGACGACAAATCAGAAGGCGGAGCGCCCATCGCCGCGCAGCTTTCGGCGAGGCGCTCCAGGCATAGCTGCTGCATCCTGCTGGGCTCGCCCTCGCACTGCCTGCGAACGAGGTCCGAGCTGGCATCCAGCTGATTGAGCGCGACGACGAGCTCGGTGAGAAGCTCGCCCTGATGCGCCCGACGCCCTCGACGACGGCGAGCAGAGCGCGCCCGCAAGGCGCCGCCAGGGGCACTGCACCAGTCAGGGACTGGCAAAGGCAGAAGCGACCGCTGCACGCGTCCGTCGCTGTCTACCAGCCTCTCCGAAGGTTCGCCACCGGGTCGAGGCAACCCCGGCGGCGGCCCCAGCATCACCCCGTCTTGGGAGGAGCGCCCTTGGCCTTAGCGGCGGCGGCCTGCTCCTCCCTCAGCTTCCTGGCGCTCTTCTTGATGCTTGAGATGCGCTCCAAATCCTTCGACGCGGCGTCGAGCAGCTCTGGGCGCACCATCGAAGGCGCGCGAGCCCCGCCCATGAAGGCCTGGCTCTCCTCCAAGGGGATATTGCTGTTGTTCTGCTGCTGCTCTGCACTGCGGTCGCCCCAGTAATGCTCGATCAACTGGAGCTTGCGATATCCGATCTCCGCGCTCGCCAAGTTGAAGACGTCAAGGTGGTCCGACACTCCCATGGCCTCAATCATGCGCGAGAGCGCGTCGTGCATGTCGACGCCGAAGTCCATCGAGGCGAGCTTCCTGCGGCTTTTCCACATATCATGATGGAGGGACGGGCCACCTTCCTTCACCTGGTACTTTGCACACCAAGCGGCAGTCCGCGGCCCTGGCACCGCGAAGTCGGCCATCTGCTCCTGGTGGCACAGCTGGACCACCTCGCGCCAGTGACGCGCCGGCCCGCTTGATGCCGCAGACGCGGCGGGCACCTCCAGCGCCCGCGCGTCGTTACCCCGGAACTCCTGCCTGAAGTACGCCACCTCGCTCTGCTGCAGCAGGATCCCGAAAGCAGCGCCACCAGCGGGGAGCGCGAAGCCGCCCCGGCGCCCTGAACGCCAGGCCAGCTGCACCCCGCCGGCGACACCCACCTGGAGCTCCTCGCCGAACGCCACGAGCCCGTCGACGTCCTCGGCGGCCACCCACACCCAGCCTGGCGGCGCAGCCCCAGAGGGCAGCGGCGGGACGGGGGCGCCGTCAGGCACCGCTGGCGCACGCCCAGGGGCAGCCGCCACAGCTCCCCCCGGCGCGGCCGGGCCGGCGGCCGCGGCGGCCACTGGCGGTCCGCCCGCCGCGGCAGGCTCCGCCACAGCTGGCGCCGCCTCTGGGCCCGCGATGGCCACCGCAGGGGCCAGGGCCGCGACTGGGTCTGCGACCTCCAGCGGCCCGGCAGGACGCCCCTCGCAGTTCGCGGCCGAGAGCTCGAGCATGAAGGGCGAGGCCGGGAGCACGCCGAACCCCGCGGCTGCTCCCCTGCGCAGCGCGGCCCACAGCTCCGCCGGCGTCGGCAGGCGGCGGAAGCGGTATGTCCGTCCGAGCCTCCGCGATCCCGCCGGCGCGGCATCCCTGCCTGGCAATCGGCCGCACGCTGTGGATGTCCGCGTCCGGCGTCAGCCCCTCTCCGTAGTCGTCCATGTCTGGCGTCAGCACGTAGCCCGTCCCGTAGAGGACCACCCGCTCATGGTATACCTCGACCCCGCCGACGTTGTACCTCGTGAGGCAGAAGCCTCCAGCAGCAAACGGCGCCGCCATCACTGCCCAGCCGCCCGCAGCTGACGGAAGGCCCTCGCCTGCGCCGCGGCCACCGCCTGCACGTCCTCGAGCGCCTCTGCCTCAGCTGGCGCAGCCAGCGCTGAGGCGGGCGTCCCAGGCGCCGTCAGTGGGCCCGGCGCACTGGCGCTCGGTGCCGCCCGGGGGTGCACCGCCCAGAGGGCGCCCGCGGCGCCTGCGGCCGCCCCCAGGAGGAGGCAGGTGCCGGCGACCACCGCCAGCGCTGCCGCCGGGTACCCCTCTGCGGCAGTGGGGTTGAGATGCCCCTCGCCGCCAGGGCAGGAGCAGGTCAGCGGCGGGCACGTCAGCGTGGGCGAGCAGACACAGTCGGGGCACGACGGGACGCCCGACCGCACCACCAGCGCTGTGGTGGCGGCCTGCGTCAGGTCGCGCGCCAAGGCGTCCAGCCCCCACGGCATGCACAGGCGGAAGCCCCCTGTTCAGCGCGAAACTGAAAGGGCCTAAATGGCAGCGGAATGCGGCCTCTTCAACTCTCGGCAATCGGCAATCTCCAACGAAGTAGGGTCCAGGAGGAGGAGGAGATGGAGGAGGAGAGGGAGGAGGAGAAGGAGGAGGAGGTGAAGAAGGAGGAGCATGAAGAGGAGAAAGAGGAGGAGGAGGAGGAGGAGGAGGAGGAGAGAGGAGGAGGAGGAGGGAGGAGGAGGAGGAGGAGGAGGAGGAGGAGGAGGGGAGGAGAGAGAGAGAAGGAGGGGCAGGATGGGGAGAGGGAGGAGGGGGAGGAGGACGAGGAGGAGGAGGAGGAGAAGGGACAAGGGGGAGGAGGAGGAGGAGGAGGAGGAGGAGGAGAGGAGGAGGAGGAGGAGGAGGAGGAGGAGGAGGAGGAGGAGGGAGGAGGAGGAGGAGGAGGGGGAGGAGGAGGGAGGAGGAGGAGGAGAGGAGGAGGAGGAGGAGGAGGAGGAGGAGGAGAAGGAGCAGGAGCAGGAGGGGAGGAGGGGAAAAGGAGGAGGAGAAGGAGGAAAGGTGGGGGTGAGGAGGGGGAGGAGGAGGAGGAGGAGGAGGAGGAGGACGACGACGACGACGAGGAAGAGGAGGAGGAAGCAACCGGCTCACCTCGCGGCATGGTCACCACATCTCTGGGGGCCCCCGAGCGGCGCCGTTCCGAACCTTGGCTGTCTCGACCCCGTACCGGGAGCCGCTCTCTCGCCGTGGGGACGCCGACGGCAGCGCCGACGCCGACGCCGACGACGACGACGCCGCCGCCGCCGACGACACTACGACGACGACGACGACGACGACGACGACGACGACGAAGGCACCGTCCCTCTCGCCGCAACGTCAAGAGGTCTGGGCGTGTCTTCGTTCCTAGGACCCCCTCCCCGATCCCCCCAGCAGCAGTCTGCAGAGCTGGTCACCGTGCTTTCTCTCGCCGCGGCGTTCAACGCGGGGGTGATCGATAGCTTCGCTCTGCCACTCCAGAACATAGAGCTTGTCCTGCCAACTCGAGCTATGATCGAAAAACAACATCACTCTGCAATGCTCTGCTGTCTCGCGCGGCATTTTGCTGGATTAAGAGCAGCTGCAGGGCTCTCGATTACACGAAACGATTCAGAGGTCTGGGCGTGTCGTCGTTCATGGGACCCCCTCCCCGATCCCCCCCCCCTTTTCGATTCTCCTCTTCGATCCTCCTCTCCTAGATCCTCCTCCAGCCCCTGCTTCCCCTCCTCGATCCCCGCCTCCTCGCTCCTCCGCGGCGGGGGGGGGGAGGGGGGGTGGCGAGGTTGAGACAATGGCGGGAATAGGACAACATCAGGATGAGGTGTAGGCGGGGGTTGCCAGAAGTGGCCCTGACCAAAGGTAGGCCCAACTTCATCGGTCTACAATCCTCATGGCGTGTGTTAGCGCCAACGTGTGCTTGCCCACCAGGGCCCTTCGGTGCGACGCAGGCGGTGCCATGAGGGCCAGCACAGGCTAGGTGCCACCAGCGGAGCCGACAGGGGTAACACACACGCTTGACCTATCACGCGCCATGAAGATCATAGATCATGGAATCATGGGACCCCCTCCGGCTCCTCACACCGCTGGCAGCCATCCCCGACTGCGCAGCTCTACACAGCCAGAGGTCCCACAGCGGCCACCAAGGTATCTGGGGGCTTCTGGCTCCACTAACGGAGGGGGGTCCAGAAGAGCTCTCCGCCCCAACCCTTCCCCCCAACGCCCTCCCTCTTGGCTGGGGGGGGCTGCCGTTGCTGCCCTCACCCCCAGGGCAGAGGTCAGCTGACTGAGCCACTCGAGGTCCCCGAACGACCGACCGACCCGATCCACTGCGGGCAATACGTATATCATGACGCACTGCGACCCTTCCGTCGAAACCCGAGAAGCAGTGGACATGGAGAAAAATCTGGCCTCTGGCGAGGAAACACCGTCGAGAACAGTCCCATACGCAATTGATATAGTCGCCCGCACCTTCTGCCCTCCCTCCCTCACTCAATACTCCGCCTCCTCGCTCGCCCTCGACACCCGTGGTGGCCCCACTCCTCTCAGGGACCACCAAGAGGCACCAACAGAAACAGACACCCGTTAAGCAGGCGCCCGCCTCCTAAAGGACGTCCCAAATAGGCAAATCAGCGATCTGGGCGTCTTGTGGCCCCTCGCGAGTCCCCCAACGACAACAACAACAACAACAACAACAACAATCATTTTACCCGAACGCGTGGTGTTCTCCCCAGTGCCAGGGTTTTCATACGACACCAGACAATACCCCCACTTCGTGGGGGGGCATTACAAGCTCTACCAAATATCCAAACGACTCTTCGCGACCACCCAAACCCAGCTTCCCGCCCTATGACGTTGGGACACTTCACTTCGTGGCGTGCGGACGACCGTGGCTACTACACTGGCGTGGGGTACACACCCACAGAACTTGGTCACTTATTCGGGGCGCGCATGTGCCCAGCATGGTGCAATTGTGCCATACAATACATAATACAGAGAGACAGAGAGAGAGACAGAGAGCAGACAGAGAGAGAGACAGAGAGAGCGGAGTTGGTCACATTTTTGGGTCAAGTTCCTGGGATGATGGGAATACACAACTCTGTTACATTTGATAGTGTGCACGACACACATGAGATGATACGTACTCGCAAGATAGTTGGTCACATTTGTGGAATTCCTGGGCGGATGTGGGGATACACAAATACCTTTGTTACCAGTGCTAGACATGGTACAGACACTGAGAGAGAGAAGGCGAGACAGAGGAAGAGAGCGGGAGAGAGAGAGACAAAGAGAGAGAGACAGAGAGAGAGGAGTTCGTCACATTTTTTCATCAAATTCCTGTGCCGAAGTGGGAATACGCAAAGGCATCAGTTGCATATGACCCGTAGGGTACATGGTACACATGATCATGGTACGTACGCACAAGATGGTTGATCACATCTTTAGGGCAAATTCCTGAGGGATGTGGGAATACACAAGAGAGAGAGAGACGATATGGTTTTCCCGATGGTTGTCTCGATGGTTGTCCCGATGGTTGTCCTGATGATCGTGGTTGTCCCGATCGTCGTCCCCATGGTTGTCCCGATAGTTGTCCTGATGGTTATGGTTGTCCCGATCGTTGTCCACATGATTGTCCCGCTGGTTGTCCCGATGGTTGTTCGGATGGTTGTCCCGATGGTTGTCCCGATGGTTGTCGCGATGCTGCCATACTTTCTTTTTCTATCGCCCAGCCTCGGCGAACAGTGCCGGCGGGGGAACAGGGAGCATACTGCCAGAGCGCACTCATACTGTCATGAGCGGCCAAGGGCATGCGGCATACGGAACGGCACTCATACTGTCATGAGCGGCCAACGGCATACAGCCTACAGACGCGAAGGCTCCTCCTCCTGGGTCCCGTCCGCGATGGCGCCAATCCGCGGCGATACCTGAGGCTGGACAGGTGGCAGCACGGAGGCCATACGCGTCGCAATGGCGACATCAGGGATGTGTCCGAGCACGATGCTCATACGCCTGCTCGCGGATGCCGGGCCCGTGGCTGCGAGAGGAAATGCCGCCAAGACGCCCGGGACCTGCACCGTGATACCGAGGTCCAGTCGGTAGTCCATTAGATTCCCATGCGGCGACTGGCCCCACGGTCGGTATACGTCCTGGTGCCACCATTGGTCCTGTGTCGGGTATACCCCGGGCTCGCCCGCGGCAACCCACAGTGCCATACCCTGCGGCTCATACCCCATGGATGGCGCGTGAATGGCGATGAATACGTCCAAGCTCATCAAGGCCCTATACGAAAGCCCCGATACGACCTCGGCGCGAACGCGAATACGAAGTCGATCCAAGATCCTGCGAAGGCCGGCATACATCCACTCGCCGTGCCGGACGAATACGTCGCGTGTCCAGTCACGTATGC